ATCTGTTTTCATTCTGAAGGAAGAAACGCAGGGCACTGTTACATTATTACCTCTTTTTCCTTCTTCCTCACATCATTTAAGAAACTATATGTTTTTTCAAACACTTCTGGTTTATATTCCCCAGAGAGGTCATCAAAACGAGGATCTCGGGACACCTGTGGAGGAGGAAATAGGATCAATACCAGCATCTCCGCAATGTCAGAAAATCTTTGTGCGTTCTAGGAAGCCCATGTTTTGGGGGCACGATACCAGTTTGGTCATATTCCTTTCCCTCATTTCATCCTCTTCAGCATTTTGCTTTTGAAATTAAAAAGCTTCTCAAATATTGAAACCAAAGTTATCCATTTCATTATATTCCAAATAAGTTTCATGCTCAAATATTCAAATATTCTCCCAGTATATTTATCGCTCATTCTTTCTTTAACTACCAAGATCTGTTTTGTGTGTTCCAACACAAGAATACCCACCTTTTTCTTAACAGGCACGACTTGCCGCAAAAAAGGTACTGGCAGTTTGGCTGAAGTTTCCAAAGGCCTGCAGAACAGGAAAATAAACACAATCTTTTTTTTGTGGAAAAAAGATACATGGAATTTTACAAATTTGTGGCTTGATCCTTAAAACTACTTCTCTGAATACAATAAATAAGTATCAATGGATGCCATCAGGACACAAAATATATGCTTGCAATTGTTTTTATGAGCCAAAGGTCTTCCATTCATTAGGCTTTAGAAGGATTGAATAACCAGAGTATACAGGCTCCTCTAAGAATGTGTTTCACAGAGGCAGCTTTGTATTGATCAGATAAGAATTGTTCTGTTAGTCAGTGGCCTGATGTAACCTAATAAGCCCAGACAGCTTCCTCCAAGCTCACACAGCTGTGCTTTGCAAAGAAGTTTCTAGCTTAGGCAAAGCTGGCAAGACTCTGTGACTAATAAAGGAAAACTAACTATATCCTTCAATATGCTTTTAGGACTTGCTGCATCCACAGTACTGAAATCACTTCTCATCAACTAAGCCTATCTTCTCCTTCATGAAGAACTTTAAAACAAATTGTCCTATAAGGCATCTAGTCCATGGGGTTGTCAGCTGGAATTTCCTGAACCTTGCAGAAAGGAGACACTTGAAAAATCTAATAATATCTCAGAATTTAAGACTGCAAGATATAAAACTAACAACCTCTGGCTACATTACAGCCCTTTCCAGGAAGACTAGCTCTTCAAGGTTACTTCTAAAAAAATTGATAAATCTAGTTTTTTAAAGTGTGAGCAGTCGTCTTCCTTTCCTGCTGGCCATTATAAGAACTTCAGAATTGCTTTTTTCTTCTATCCTTTCCAATTTTAAAAATTAAATTTAAAAGCATGGGTTGCCTTGTTTTGGGTGACCTAGGGCTCTATTTACTAAAGAGCAGGACAAATATATTTTAAATAAATAAAATCTAGCTTTAAAGGAAGAATATACCCAGTCCCTTAAAACTCTCTAGGAGGAGAGATTAAACAGAAATGTCCATTAATGTAAGTCTGACTTTAATATCTTACAGTATATTTGACATCAAGAGGCTCGCTGGCTTCAGAAGATATCATCTGTTATAGTTACAACTCTGTTAGTAATTTTCTTAGAATAGCTGTATATTCAATTAGTGTATATCAGTTTTCTAAACCTCTTGCTACATATCAATAGTCTACAGAATTTCAGTTGATAAATGGCCTTCCTTTTAACTAATTATTGATTAATCATTACATTCAAATGCATGCATACAATCTACCAAAATCTCAAAACATTTTTGAGATGATAGAGGAAATAAAATCAGTTTATCTGCTGAATTTGAATTTCCCTATCATTGTCAAAAGGGAATGATTTAATTTTCCTTTTTTTATTCATAACACAATTATATTGTCTTAAGAAATAAGGACATGGATTCCTAATTTTTTTCACTGTTGATTAAAATTAGCTTCACCACATAAATTACATATGTAAAGTTAAGCATGTTCTATATAGTAAATTCTAGTGAGCTTTCAAAACTTACTATGTAGTAAACTTACAAACCCTACAAATTTACTGTATAGTAAACTCCAATCACTTTTACTAACCCCAACCCAAACAATGCAATACATTTCCCTGACAGTTTTTCAGGCCTTGGATGGCACACTGCAAAATTGGTAATAGGATTAGGATTTCATTTCATTTAGATTTAGATTTAATTAAATACAATTAATATGATTCCTCCCTACTAAACTATTTTTACTTTCTGATGTATTAAAAATAGAATTCGGTAATAACTTTTCGAGATCTCTAGGTGTCCCACCTAAGTTTTGAGGACACCAAATGCAGCCCTGAAGCAGCAGATTATGCATCTGTGACTTACAGCATACTTCAGAGGGGAAAAATGAACTCAGATGACCAATGCACTTCATCAAATCATATCCCATCTTCCAGTGCTCCCTATCAAAGGAAAGCAAAGGGAACCCCTATGCTGTGCTTAGCCAAATAAGATTCCTAGTCAGATACTACCTTTCCCTGGAAGCATATATATCTGGTCCTTGGCAACATCTCCCTAGGCAAGGAAACTGAGGGACTGAAGCAAGGGATCATTTCAACTCTATTAATTTCCTATGGGGACAAGTTTTGCAGACACTACAGACTAATTCTTGGTCTTGCCCTATTGTTTTAGATACCACTGCATTCATTTATTCTTTAGTTGTTCTGTTAATATAAGTATAATAGCATATAAATATGAAAATTGAAGGAAGTATTTTAATTCTATCGGCATAGTTAGATTCTAATAGACTGATTGTATTTTAGTAATTCCACTCTCTGTGGCAAATTAATTAATACAATCAGTGTATTGAGCAGACACACTAATAAAAAGCATTCAGACTGTGAATCTAATTACAAGCTTTTATCATTCCTTTTTCTTTCTACCTGCATTAGCTCTTGAGAAGATTTCATTTTTCTTAGAAGTGAAAGGCAAAATCTGTAACTCATTATGGGGATACTACTCAATACTGACAAGGGAATGAAAATTTCAAACAGAAGCGACTCCTCTGATTGAAGGGTGGATTTTCAAATTTAGCGAGAGATTTCTTTTTTAATGTGGCTCCCTAGTAAACATGTTTAGATCAGAATTTATAGTCATTTAAATAATCTTTTTTGCAGAAAACATTACACTCAAAGGACACAGTTGACAGTTATATAAACTACACTCAAGATTCAAAACAAGTAAGTGTAGCTTCCATACATTTAGGAGGAAAGCTTTTGCATGGATAAAACATTTGCAGCACCTGCTCCCAAATCTTTAAAGAAGTCAGAACATCTCCTGAGCTTGCACTCTCAGGAAAATATGCATTTAGGAGGCATCAATGCTTTAGAGCAGGGCTTTTCAACCTTTTCACCCATTGTACCACTTTTAGGATATGGCAACATCCGACTACCACCTAGCAAGGTGTCAAAAACTTGATCAAAAAAAAAAAAAGGAAAAAAATGATAAAGTACAGGTAGTCCTCGACTTACAACAGTTTGCTTAGTGACTGTTCGAAGTTACAATGGCACTGAAAAAAGTGCCCCCCAAGCCACAGCCGAGCAAGACACCTGTCTGCCCGCCCGGCCACGCTCTTCCTCCTGTCCGAGGTTTTTATTGTTGTGAGCAGTTCTGTTGAGGATTGGCAGCGGGGGTGGGGAGGTGTTTGGTTTTTATTCCCCTGTCTGCTGGGTGGTTGCAGCAGGTTTTGGTCACTTCACATGACTGTGGGACACTGTGACCATCATAAATATGAATCAGTTGCCAAGCAACTGAATGTAAATCACAAGACCCTGGCGATGCTGCAACATTCCAGCTGATCGGCGCTTCTTCTGGGCTCAGCAAAAGTGCCAGGATCAGCGCTGAGCTCCAGCTGGAGCCTGGCGCTGATCCTGGCGCTTCCACTGAGCCCTGACAGCCCTGAAAAAGCGCTGATCAGCTGGAAAGCGGCACTGATCCTGGCGCTTCCGCTGAGCCCTGACAGCCCTGCAGCTCCAGCCATCTCTCGCTCAGGCTTGTGCGGTGCTACCACCGGTTCAGCTCATTTCCCTCCCCCGCTACTTTTCTAGGATGGTCGCGTACCACCTGCCAGGTGCCAATGTACCACAGGTGGTACCCGTACCACTGGTTGAAAAGCCCTGCTTTAGAGGGCATTAAGTCATAAAGGATAGTACCACATTGGACTTTATGTGAAATTCATTCTTAACAGCAAAGAACAGACATGCTCTGGGGAGGTTTTTTTTAAAAAACTGAGTTTCACAGAATCTATAAGGACTTGAATGGGTTCCTGGAAGGACTAAGTGGGAAAAGAACTCTCAAACTCAGTGATGCTAGACACACCCAAACATCTGCTCTTTTCCTCTCATGGACTGCACGTCACCAGTATTTGTCATCACTATCATTTGTAAGTGGTCTATGAAGCAGTTTCTGGCTGCCTTTTTCCTTCATTCCACTTTTCTCTCTTCCTACCTGGACAAGCACAAAACTGAACTTCTTGCCTGCCTCCAAACTCCAACAAACAATTTCCTCATCAGTCCAAGACAGCTAAAAGTAGAGCTAGAAATCCAGGTGTTTCTAACTTGACCCAAGAGCGATTTTGGTGAGTCTCTCCTTCTTCGCTTCCAATTTTGCAAACCGTATTTGTGTGTATGCAGGTGTGTGTCTGCAAGAGGCCAGCTTAATCATCAAGGTGGTATCTTGTGCACACCAGCTTAAAATTAAACCCAACTGGGCCACTTGGAAATTAATAACGTATTCTGTATGAAATTCAAAGGTTTGTTATTTTGTTTTATAAAAGCAAAGGTTAATTTTGCATTTTATAATAAACACTTTATTTTTCATTTTATTGCCAATTTTCTATCACTCATGCCTTGCCTCTTGATTAAGGGTTCTTAGATCTATTTTTTCAATCAACATATTTTGAAAAATCCTTGTTCCAGTGGGTATCTCTCTTCCATTCGCTCCAGAAACAGGGCTTAGATTCGGTGTTTTTCACCAGGGAGATATAGTTCAAGTCATAAAGAAAACTCAGACAAAGATATCCAAAAGGTGTATATATATAAGTGGATTATCTGTGAACTATATATGATTTGCCATAGGTATCTTTCCCCCCTTTTCAAAATAATAATGGATGGCCAGGATGCCTTGCCTCTGCTGTAGAAAATAAATCTTTATGGTAAGTCTAATACAAGTAGTCCTTGACTTACGACCACAATTGACCCCAAAATTTCTGTTGTTAAGTGAAACATTTGTTAAGTGATTTTGCCCCATTTTACAACCTTTCTTGCCGCAGTTGTGAATCACTGCAGTTCATGAGTTAGTAACCCAGTTGTTAACTGAATCTGTCTGACTAGAATAGAATAGAATAGAATAGAAGCTGGAAGGGACCTTAGAGGTCTTCTAGTCCAGCCCCTTGTTCAAACAGAACCTACACCATTTCAGACAAGTGACTGTCTAGGTCTTCTTAAAAGCCTCTAGTGATGAAGCGCCCATGATTTCTGAAGGCAAGCTATTCCACTGGTTAATTGTTCTCACTGTTAGGAAGTTTCTCCTTAATTCCAGATTGCCTCTCTCCTTGTCCTCTGGCACCCTCTTCTTTGTAGCAGCCCCTCAAATACTGGAATACTGCTATTATGTCACCCGTTGTTTTTTTTCTTTAGACTAGCGGCTAGCCAAACCCAAGTCCTGCAGCCGTTCTTCATATGTTTTAGTCTCCAGACCTTTAATTGTTTTAGTTGCTTAGTTGCTTTAGTTGTTTAGATATACATGTAACTTCCCCTGACTAGGATCTCCCTGAGGAAACTCCTCAGCTTCACTGAATTTGCAAAGCATCTGTGGGATCTTTAGACAGATAGATTCTGAGGAGAAGGAATACCCACTGAAGGGACAAAAATGCATCGTTGCCCATGATACTAAGGCTATATAGATGATCATTTAGCTCTCTACTGCCAAAACCCACGAGATTCAAATGGCTGATTTGAAGAACTGATATAGCTGGCTGCTGAATGATCTGTTTTCTCTCTTTTGTAGGAAGATTAAGCCTTTTTCAGCTTGTTGTCCAGAACAGTGACCAGCTAGTGTAATTGCTGATTGAAGGATGCTCTAGTCTATTGATCAAAAAGCCCAGCTCCTTGAAATGTCTACACCAGGATCCTTTGAATAGTCAAATATAATTTTATTGACAGGTTATGGAGGTAAGTATATATATGTATTTCCTGGAATCTGACCTACAACAGTCACCATCATCTTTGCGAATGCTCTGGAAGCTGAAACAGCCTGAGAAGAGAGGCCTTGAAAAAATAATGGATGTCCTAATAATTACATCTCAGGAACATGCTGTGAGATGAATTGATTCTGCATGTATAAGTCCAGAGCATCTTTTTCTGGAAACACTCCACAGTTTATCACAGAGTTTCTATCCGGCACTTGTGCTATTTGGTTTATTTCATGCACCAAGATCTTGTGCCATTTATGTGTTCCTCTTGTGGACAATTACATATTCAGAGTTAGATGGCATTTGGTGCTTTGGACTTGGAAGACAGGGTGAAGTAATCTAGGGCTGGTGAATTCTATGGTGTAGCCCTCTTTAAGTTCTGTGCATTTCGTATGATATGAGTCTACTGATAAGTGAATTCCATTAGACTCCCATGCATATGGAGGATAGTTGTTTGCACCTCCCATCTTGCAATGAGAAAAGTTTTCCCCCTGGAATTGAGATTAAGACTGTTGAAATCATTTGGGGTTCCTTCAGGATGAGCTGTATTCCTTGTGGCTCAATTATTTTTCTTGAGTACTGTAAAAATTGAAAGAAATGTTTGGTATAGTCTGATTCCTGCTATTTTTGGCTTCATATTTTTGTGTTGGTTAGGAGAATAGCTTTCCTTGAATCATTAGTCTCAATTAGGACATTATCTAGGACCTGTCTGAATAGTTTGCTACCCTTGAACGGGCCTGATATGAAGACTGATTTTAATTTAGAGTACTTTCCAGTTCATCAGCTACAGCTGTCTTAAACTGTTATGTTAACTATAGTGCCGTTGGCTGAGAACTGCATACTATTTTCGCCAGCATCTGCCATTAAGGCAGAGACTTGGCTAGCTTGTTCATGCCTTATGTGGGCTCCCTATTTTCTAGACGAGGGATGAATTGGAATAGCTGTTAGTCCCACAGGATTGAAGCTTAGTGAAAATGAACATGGCAAGGAAAGCCCTTGTGGCCATAGCTGGAACCTTGCGGACACTTAATTGCAGATTCTCTGTCTCCAGGACTGTCTGGGGCAGTGGTGGCGAACCTATGGCACGCGTGCCAGAGGCGGTACTCAGAGCCCTCTCTGTGGGCACGCGCACCATGCCCCGCAAATGGCAACCGTCCCTCTTCAACCAGCCGCCCGCTTATTCGCCAAGGTCACACGTGGCTGGATGCATCCCAGCACCCATGCGCTCGCTGGCCTCTGTGTGCAGGGGCCGATGGTGTCAGGCAGCAGTCACCTGCCTCACCTTGCCCTGTGACAATGGCACCCCCGCTCTGCCTCGTCTTGCCTCGCCTCACCCCACAGGATGAGCCTCCTGCCCACCGCCCCACCTGCCAGAGACCCCCTAGATCTCCCCCAACCCTGCCCAGTCCCCACAGGCATCCCTCCCCACGAGCAACATTGAGGTGATCACTCCCACCTTGGCCACACCCACCCAATCTGCCATGACCACCACAGCCACGCCCATCCAGTGGGCCACGCCCACCTGGCACCTGGCGATAAATAAGTGGGTTTGGGGTTGCCGTTTGGGCACTCGGTCTCTAAAAGGTTCGCCATCACTGGACTAGGGTGTCTTCCCTGTCTTCATTTACTATTACTCCCAAGACCAGAGTTATCATGTGAGTATCCACTATGAAGTCTTAATTAGGTTTAGGGTTAGCTGTGAGAAGGTACTGAGAAACAAGATGGAAGAATTTTCATTTTCTCATTGCCCTGAGAAACTTCTACTCTGTTCTGAAGATTTTGTTAAAGGTGTCAGGGAACGGAAGGCATAAGACAGTAAATAGCTACAGGTAACCCTCGACTTACAATTATTTGTTTAGTGACCGTTTAAAATTATAGTTGCAGTGTTCTGTCATGTGATCACCATCTGCAACCTTCTCAGTCATCTTCCGTCAAGCAAAGTCAATGGGAGAAGTTGGATTTGTTTAGCGACAGCATGGTTCACTTAACTGCAGTGATTTGCTTAACAACAGTGACAAAAAAGGCTGTAAAATTGGATGTGATTCACTTAACAACCACCTTGCTATGCAATGGAAATTCTGGTCCCCATTGTGATTGTAAGTTGGGAACTACTTATAGTGGGAAACCATTGCTAATAACGGGTCCAACAAGGTATTTGTAAGGCTTAGATATTCTAGTTCATTCAGTTCCTTCAGTCTTGCACTTTCCTAAGCAGCTGGGGAATTCTGCTTTGTAGAAAAGGCTAACAGATTTGAGATTTGGATTTTATTCCCATCTAGGGACAAATCCCCCCTCCTCCCTATTTGACAGATCCTAAAGAAAAGTATTTGAACCATATGTAATGTGTACTCCTCACCGTAGTAGTAGGTTTTCCTTGCTTGCTTGGTGGCCTGAACATTGACCTCTGTTGGAAATATTGTGTGCTTATTAACCACTTATCTGACAATCTACTGTAGTCTCCTGAGGAGAGCATGGTAATGAGACAAGAGGGCATATTAATGTGCCATTCAAGGTTAATCAGTTGGCTCACTTCCAAGGACCATGTTAATGGACAGCTGTCCATGATCCTGCTAGGTCTGTTATCCCTAGTCTAGGTCAGTGTAGAACAGGGGTTCTCAACCTTGGCAACTTTAAGACTTGTGGACTTCAACTCCCAGAATTCCTCAGCCAGCTTTGCTGGCTGAGGAATTCTGGGAGTTGAAGTCCACAAGTCTTAAAGTTGCCAAGGTTGAGAATCCCTGGTGTAGAAGATACAAAAGAAAAAAACTTGGAGATCCACCTAGACTTAGGGAGTTCCTGGCAGAGTAAATGGGCTTTCACACTTTTGGAGCAGGACAAGTTCAGAACTGAGAACTCAGCTATTTTCTCTCATTGGAAGCAATGTTAGTTCTAGTCTAAGCTCTGCCTCTGGAGTAAGTGAGAAGAAGCTCACTATAGGATGTCCTGCCTTTACTGAACCCCCCCCCCCGAGGTTTCAGATTGAAATTTGGAAATGGATGAGACAGAACTGATGAAGTATCAGATCACATCACCTTGGGAAAATTTGTGTTGATCGATACCTGGCTTCACAGCTATGAACAAAGGCTAATGACACATAGCAAATGTGCACAGATTAAGGGAGATGTTCAAAGAGGTACCAAGAGATCTAGTTCCATGCTTGTCTGCTTTAATGTCTAAATTACTCTTCAGATCAACAACATTTACAAAATGCATCAAAGCATAAGGAGCTGTAATACAATAGAAGCCAACCAGCCACATAAAGAAGACTAGAGCTGTTCATAAACAAGAGGAAAAATTGTTAGATCAAATCACAAAAAGCAGACTGCCAGCTTTTAGATCTTTACAGGTTCCACCCAGCTGAGAAAGCTAACCACCATCCTTATATACTCCTTTCTAGGCTGAATGGATTATACATGTATAGATCCTGAAAGGTAAATTTAAAATTCCTAAACTCTGCACTAAATGGAAACATGACATACAATGCAATCTCAAGTATGTTCATCATTTAAAGTATTATAGACTTCACAAAGCAGAAATTGTGTTTACCTGTTTTTGCTCAAACACGGCCTCTTCTTTGTTTTTGTGACATCTGGTAGCCTTTTCTTAGATGTCATTTGCTGATAAGCCTTCATCCCAACTTGGTTTCTCATTTGTAACAGCTCCTCAAAAGACATTGAAGACAATTCTGAAGGAAAAGGAAATGAAAACGCAAAGATATACAGACATACATCAAAGTATTTGAAATATTTACACCAGTCTTTGGCAATCTAAGCACTCTCAGATATATTGATTTAACATGTGGAATTTTCAGCAACAGACCATGCTGCCTCGGATATTCAAGTTAAAAAAGCTGATTGACATATTTAGTTATATATTTTCTACACCACTGCAATCCAGAGACTCTCGGCAGCTTACATAAAGAATAAAATAAAATCAACACAATTATAAAAGAATAAAACAACCTGCACAAAAACCATAAGCAATAAAAACAAAAACTGAACATGACTTGATAAAATCAGGAGAAGCAGATATATACTGAATGATGCAATTCCTTTAATAGAAAAAAATAGCTTCCTCCATGTTCTCCAGATACACAAATAGTTGTTTTTTTTTCTGTCACAGATCAATAAAAATACAATCAGTAAAATGAGAACACAAAATTATCCCCTAACAACAAGAACTATTAGCAACCATTTGTGGGCAAAGTGCAGATAAAAGCTATCAAAGTGCCTTGGAAATTGAAATAAAAGAGGGGGTAATCAACTGGTGGCAAACGTCCCTTTAGAACTGGCAATACAGAAGAACATGAGCTGTGGGTTTTATACCTATATCACAGAGGCAGTGTCAGGTTCCCTATAGGGTTTTCCTATATTTTCCTTCCAGGTCAGCTATGGGGAGCACATTAAATCAAGCTAAAGATAAAACTCTCCTAAATTTGAGAACTGTGCTATGATATAAACATGAGGCTGGTTTAGTCACTAAAACTTGGTTATTAGGAATTATATTGTGAGTGAAAGTAGCAATTCCTGACCTTCTATATCTAAGATTCTTAGTACAGGTACTCCTCGACCTACGCCCACAATTGAGCCCAGAATTTATGTTATTGAGATATTTGTTAAGTGAGTTTTGCTGCATTTTACAATTTTCCTTGCCACATTTGTTAAGTAAATCACTGCAATTGTTAAATTAGTAACACGGTTGTTAAGTGAATCTGGCTTCCACATTGACTTTGCTTGTCCGAAAGTCACAAAAGGGGATCACATGACACTGGGACACTGCAGCCGTCATAAATATGAATCAGTTGTCAAGCATCCGAAGGTAAACGACGTGACCATGGGGGATGGTGCAATGGTCATAAGTCACTTTTTTCAGTGCCGTTGTAACTTTGAACGGTCACTAAATGAACTGTTGTAAATCGAGGACTACCTGTATTGATCTAACTTGATTAACTCTAAGGTTAAGATGGCATCATTGGAGAAACCATACAAGTTCAGTATCTTTTGGATCAAAGTTTCCCAGGAATGTGATTATTTTATTTTTATTTATTAATTTTTTGTGCTGCCCATCTCCCCCACAAGGTGACTCTAGGAGGCTGTTCATACTGTTATATAGTCATATATGAGCTCTGTGTAGTAACTGTGCTTGGGCTTTAGTTGCAAACAATTTAATTGCAGCAGGGATAAACTGTTCCGTCTAGAAAAATAGCAAGTTTGTATTGCTGATGCAGATCTCTGTGCACTGCAGGATACATAGTCCACCTGGGCATTTCTGCTTGAAAAACTACTCCTAGTTACTGTTATGTCTATGCACTAAGCCTATCACAGCAATTTTTTTCCATTCGCATCAGAGTTCTATGCACAGAGCTGTAGTATTCATATAAGATAGCATCATAAGAACTTGTTACACCTCAATAAAACCAGTTATGTTCCCTGGTTAGAGAGCTCACCCCGTAACTATATTTGCTTAACTTCATGCAAAACTTCTTATATCAAAAATATTTTCTTGGCTGCTATGATTTCCCTTTAGTACCCCTAGTAGGAAATAACTGTAGCAACTAGAAATCAGCAAGAAATTGGATCATAGTCTCAAGGCAGATTTTTCTTTAAGTTAAAAAATATATTTTTTAAAAAAATATTAAGTATGTGATGTTTGGGCCTTAGGTGTCAAATCAAGTATATTTTGTTCACCTGGTCATTTAATAGTTTTTTAAAGGTTTTTTAAAATTATTATTTTACACATGATTTGTCCAACTGGCAACTGTAATTTATAGTATTGTTATGGGATTTATAACTTGTCTTAAAGATTAAAATAATGAGAAACCTTCCTCTAAAATTAACACATTATTTAAATGGTGGTGTTTCAGAAGAAAAAAATATCTTACTTTTTCTAAGCTAGGTCCAAAGCTTGTGATTACTATTACAGCATCAATTAGATATGGCAGGCATCTAGTTAACCTTTGGTTACTGCTCTTTTAGACAAAGAAAAAAATGTTGATTAAGGCGACACACTATTTCTGATGATAGCATTTATAAATCCTGATACATTACACAGAAGTGATAAAATTTTAAAATACTTTCTGGGTTTCCTATTTTGCGCAGAGAGTTGATTTGCTATCTACCCTGCCTCCACTCCTGAGTGAAGTTTTAACTCCTGTTTTTCAATTTTTCTGAAAAATATGAAATGGTAATTCTTAGTCAAGATCATGCAATATTCTGCTGAAATTAACCACTAGAATTGATTATATACTTGAGATAGAAGAATAAAGATGAATTACAATGAATCAAACTGTTGCCTGTTTTACCAAGTGCTATCTACATCAACTGGCAGATTTTTGTAGGATCAGAGTAAGTTTATTTCCTGCCTCTTGCCATTCAAGATTACTTTGTGAACTAAAAAAGCCAATTTGTGTTCTTCCTCTATGTAAGAATGCTGCTTCCTCTATATAAAACAAACCTATGGCATTTCTCCATCTCTAGATTACAAATTGAATCTGCTTTTTAAAAAGTTGATTTCTTTCTTCTTCAGCTGAAAGGCCTCTTGACAGCCATTTCATACTTGCAAACTAGGTATAATTAGTGTGCCTTTCCCATGACTTATTTGAACAGCACTTTTCTTACAACAGAAAATTAAACAGAAAGAGACGTTGTAAAGTATATGCTCTATAATCATTCAAATCTTTCAGAATGTAAGCCCTTCTTTTTCCATGCATTCACATGTACTAAAAAGGGCTCTGGGTTGCTTTGAAGTGAATGATATTGAAGTGTCACCACAGGTCAGGCATTGAAAACCACACATGTTGTCCATATTTACTATTCTGCAAGCACCTCCTTTCACTTGAAGCTTAAGAGCAGCATTTTGAAGTTAGACACTCTAATAATTCAAAACTTTTTATATTTGGCTACACTTCTGAATGATTACTAAGTTCATATTTTTCATACTGCTACTTTTGTATTACAAGTATATTCTAAGACAGTGATGGCGAACCTTTTAGAGACCGAGTGCCCAAAAACTGGCCCCACCCCCTGCCCCGCCCCCACTCCGTCCCACCCTGCCTGCCCGCAGGGCCACTCACCACCTCCAGGGCCCGCCGATCGCCCAGGCACTCCAACAGTGCCATGGTGGCCACGCCCTCTGCCCACGCCCTGCAGCATCAACTGTGTGCGTTGGGGCGTGAGGGCACAGTCTTGTCTACGCTGCCTGGCTGCCATGTCCTTGGCTGCACTGCTCCATGTGGGCCATGCTCAAGGGCGACTCTCCTCCAGGGAGAGGAGGGGGTCACAGGTGGAGGCAAGGCTGGGACAACGGTATGTGTGCCCACAGAGAGGGTTCCAAGTGCCGCCTCTGGCACCTGTGCCATAGGTTCGACACCACTGTTCGAAGGGAATGCTTTTCTTTTTATATATAAATTTTATATATAAATAATAAGAATACAACAAACTAAATCAAAACAGAACAGGTTTAAAAGAAAAAAAAACAGAAAAAATATCAGAAAATTTTATAAAGAAAATTTTAAAAGGAGCAAGCTAGAAAGAAAAATATAAAGACATTGGTTCCGACAGATGAAACTCTTCAAAAGAACTTCGAGGCATTGTTTACCTTAAAGAATCTTTTAATCGAGAAACAAAGTATCAGCACTACATAGTTAAAGCCAAAAACTGAATTCCCCTCCCCTGAGCACAAAGTAACAAAGCACAATTCCCTCCTCCAATTAACAGTCATAAATCACATTCCCCAATTAGCTTGAAGCATGGGCTTTCTCCCCAGCTCTCCAGCCTGCCAAATCTTTATCAATTCTGGGCACAATAACCTTGGATTCCCATGGCTGAGTTATTACTGTTATGACTAATTGGACTCTCATCCACATTCCCCCTCCTAGCATCAACTAACTCTAAAAGTAAAAGAGTAAAATGGCTGCATTTCCATCTGTTGTCAAAGCAAGAACATCTGATGTTAGCAGCGTTGACAAAAGTGGCTTCCAATATACTTCACAGCAAATACAATTATATCTTAATCTTTTTCTCTAAAGTTATATCATAATTTCCTTCTTTTCATATTTATCGTTTAATTATCAAAACCATAAACCATAAATTCATTTTTATCTTTATGCACAAAATCCATAAAGGGTTTCCAGTCATCAATGAATGTAGATACTATCTTTTCTCTAATCAAAGAAGTTAGTTTATCCATCTTGGCAAGATCTGTTAATTTTGCCAATTATTCCGCTACAATGGGTTATGCCAAGTGTGCATGTTAATAATCTTGCTGTGGTAATCATGCATTGAAATATTCTTGCATGACTTTCCAAACTTTGTCTCAACAATTGTTAAAAATGTGCTTTTTGACATTTTTGCCATATGCTAAATAAATAAATCCATCAAATGTAAAAGGAAAAGTCCTGGCTTCAATTGAATAATAGTAAAGGCAAAGGTTTCCCCTGTCCAATCGTGTCTGACTCTAGGTGGCCATTAGTCATCTCTGTTCCTTAGCCGAGGGAGCCAGCGCTGTCCGAAGACACTTCCGGTCATGTGGCCAGCATGACTATATGCAGAGGCACATGGAACGTCTTAGTCTTCAAAATCCTCTGATTTGATATATGCATTTGAACCCATTTTTTAAAGTTTTTTTTACATATTACCAAGCATATCCCTTGTTCATATCTCCAATACATTTGAAGTGCCTTTATGC